ATTATTCCCTCATTTTTTTTCTTGTCTTATTGTTATAGCTAGCATTTCTGTATTAATAGTGGTGATAATGGAATCCCTGTTTGACCCCTGATCTTATTGGAAAGACTTCTAGTATTTCTACAGTCAGTGAGTTCTCCATTACAGATAATGCTAACTCTTGGTTTTAGATAGATACTATTGACTATATTAAAGGAAATAATCCATTTATTCTTATTTTTGCTAGTGTTTTAAAATAGAAAGGCACTGGATTTTGAGAAGAGCTTTTTCTGCAGATATTGCTATTGATTTTATATATCAAGTGATTTTATTGGCTTTGTTATTAATATCTATTATGTTTATTGTTTTTATATTATTGAACTAATCCTATAATTATGATATAAATGTAACCTGGTCATCATTCAAATATGTTGCAAGAGCCTCTTTATTTATAACGTACGAAATATTTTTATATCAATGATATTCATTAGTGATACTGATCTATAATTTTTTCCTCTAATTTATGTCTCCCTAGCTTAGGTATCAAGATCATATTTGTCCCATAGAAAGAGTTTGGTAGGATGCTGTCTCTATTTTTGCAAATAATTTATGTAAAAATGGAATGAATTGTTCTGTAAAGGTTTGAGAAATTCACTTGTCAATCCAGCTATTCTCATTTTTTTCTCCTTTGGAAATTTATTTATGTCTTGCTCAATTACTTTTTCTGAAATCAAGTTATTTAAATTCTTTATTTCTTCTGTTATGCTGGGTATTTTACATTTTTGTATACAGTCATCCTGAAGTTTAGGTTAACAGTTTAGTTAACAGTTATTTAATTAGACAAAATAGCTCCTAATGTTTTCCTTTATTTCTTCTTAATTTGTTGTCATTTTTAATTTTTGTAATTTTAAAGACAAAATTGGCTTTCTCTTATTTCATTAGGTTTTTTTTAGAAAAAACTAATTGTTTATTGTTTTATTTATCAATTCAATGGGTTTTTGTTTTTAACTTTATCTCTTCTTTGACTTACAAAATTTCTATTTTGCATTTAGTTGGAGTTTTTTATGTTGCTTTTTTTTTTTGAAAAGTTGCATACTAGAACCATTGATCTCCTTTTTCTCTTTTATTGATAAAAGTTTTTAGAGATAAAAATTTTCCCCCCAAAACCGCTTTGGCTGCATCCCAAAAGTTTTGGTATGTTGTCTCATTGGTTTTTTTTTTAATGAAATTACCTATTGTCCCTAAGACTTCTTTTTTGACTATTCAATTAATTAGGAATAAATTATTCAGTCTCCATTTAAGTTGAATCCTTTCTTCAAAGGCCCTTTATTATTTATAATTTTTCTTACATTTCTGCTTTTCTGTAGTTGTTTATGAAGCCTTTATATCTTCACTCCTCATTCAGTAACTGTCAGAGAGCTATCGTATCTAATTTTTCAAAAATTCTACTTTGGTCTTTGACTTTCTTCTTTATCTTTTTGCTAGATTAGTCTAGGACTGTAAGAAATACATCGAGGCTCTCAGCTATTATAGTTTTGCTGCCTATTTCTCCCTGTATAATTTGATTAATCTTTCTTTTAAGTACATAGCTGCTTTGCTATTTGGTGCAAATGTATTTTAATTTTGATATTATTTTGCTGTCTATGTTGCCTTTAAACCTAGTGTAATTTCCCTGCAGTGAATTTATTCCATTCACATTTACAGTCATGATTGATAATTGGTTTTTTTTTCCCCTTCATTGTAGTACAGGTTCTTCCTGACCCAGTCCACATTGGCAGACTAGGTCCCCACAGGACAACTGTCTCCTCTCACTTTTCTAGGGATATCCTGAAGGAGGTTGGGAATTCCTCCCCCTCCCAATATTATAGATCAAAAGCCCTCACTGGTGTGCTTCTCCTCATGATTATTAGTTGATATTAATTAGTTGGCCAAATGTAATTCGCTCTTAGTAAGGGTTATTTACTAAAGTAGTATAATAAGAACAGTTGGTACAAAGCATACCCCCACAAATCTTTGATGGGCTGCTAGGCCAGCTTCTGCATTGGGTGATATAAAGTTTGCTGGGTTGAATACCTTCTTGGGATGTAGTACTTAACCCAATCTGGGCTTCAGTTTATTTTCCTTGAGTCCTAGCTCAGTCACAGATGCTGCCCCCAATCCTAATTCCTCCTTTGACTCCCCACCTTTCCTTTTTGTGGCTAGGTTGAATCCACTGCTTTGTGCAGGGAGGGGAAAGTGTAGGTAAGGTGTTTCAGGAAGTTTTTTGCGAACTTGGCGGACCCTAAGAAAAGCTTGTCCCACCCTGGTCCCCTGAAGAAAGGAGCCAACTGACTCCACCCAACCCCTTGAGAAGGAGGAGGTGGGGGGCAATGGGTAAGGTGTATTAGCAGCTTCTCTACAGCAGGGTGGATACCATGATGGACTCCCTGCCAGCTTTATGTCCATGCTAGAAACCTGGAGTCTGGTTGGGGAGGGTTGCTAAGTATACACTTTAAGTACAGAGTTTTTTGCTATTAATTTCTGCTGATTTTACCTTATAGATTTCTCTCCTTTGTTCTGTGGATTCCTTGGCAATTATTCTATATCTGGTGCATCTTTTTTTTAAGGGTTTGAGAGTTAAAGGTTGGGAAAAAGTGAATAATCTGCCATCTTCCTGGTCATGTGAACTGAAACGGAACTCTTTTCCCCTATTTTTGAGCTTATAGCCTTCAACCCATAGGATGGTATAGCCCACAATTACCACAGTTCAGAGAAGGTAGACAAATAGAATGGAGTACTTAAGTTGGGTAAATCTTCCAGTGGGCCACTCAAGTTAGATAGGGTTTGTTTAGATTAGTAGGTAGAGAGAATTTCAGGTCAGTTAGCAGTCAGAGAAAGTGGAAGAGCCAGGACTAAAATCCTTATCTTCTGACTTCAAGTACTGTTCACATTCTATTACACCTTCTTAAAAGTCCATGTTAGATTCTTGTTCCCTGAATCTTAATTACCTAACCCACAAGAAAACAGATGTAATGATGTGTTCTCTAGGATTCTTAAAAAAAAAAAGCACAAATTTCATTCTATATTTGCATGGAATGACAGACCAATAACTTAAACCTGGCATGGAAAGCTCCAGCTACCAGGGCCCATACTCTGGTTAGGCCTGGGTCAATAACAGTTCTAGATCTATTATCTTAGCTACTCTCTGTAAAAGAATTGTCTCCTGTCCACAAGGCATAAACACTTTCATAAAGTCAGCATCAAAGATGATTGCTGTTTAGCTTTCTGGGTTCTGCTAACCACTAGTGGGAGGTGGAGGGGGGTGGAAGGAGATCACGAGTGATGTCAGCCCCTAGTACCATTGCTAGATTGCATGAAGCACAGGTAGGCCAAATGCACATTTTCCGTTGGACTCACCATCCTTGATGACCAAATTTCTCTCCTCCTCATAGGCACAAGGATTAGGTTTGAAAGTTATTAGAAGGAGGCTGAACTGCCAAGGCTTAGCAGCTGCTTTCCAGTGAACAGCTGGCTCTTTCCTTTGGGAACTGGTAATTTACTAAAGGTGCATATGTGAATCCTGAATGAATTATATCAAGATTCAGAAATACTAGCAACTTTCTATAACTCTCTGGATTTCTCTGCCTCCTGCCCACAGCTCAGCTTCTGTTCCACTGTAGGAAATACAAAATAGAGGGGATAGCATAATATTTCTATAATCTTTCCCAATGTGAATAATAAACAAGCAGGGTCAGAATCATTGTTTGTTGTTGTTGCTGTTGTTTTTAATAGTAGGTAAAAAAAGAAGCAAGAGATAAAGAAAGCTCAAATATGTTGGCTATTTCTACTGGTAACTAGAAAGAGAATAAGTGGCTTTATGGCTTTTCTCTAACAGGTGGAAGGGTTTACCAGCAATCAGGAGGGTAGCTTCTAAGGGGGAAACAACTAGTTTCCATTAACCTAGGAACATATCTTACCACCCCAGGAGCTACAGGTCATTGGCCCACTCCTCTTACTAGTGCCCAATCAGAACAGTCCTTTATCTTCTTGTCATTTTACTGCTTCACTGGAGACCTACCCTAGAGCTGTGTCACATGACTTGTCCTCTGGCTGCCATCATCAGCTTATTCCCAGAAAATTGTCTCATAATCAAAGATGGAATTCACTGGAATTCAGAGAAAGGAATGATGGGGAATGTTGATCTAAATCTGTCAGCAGATTTCCCAAGACCTTTTTGGGTTACATTTTAAGTCTCAAAGTATGTAATCATATACTGCTTACATATTCTATAAAGAGAGACTACTGAACTATGAAGTTCTAACTTATGGTAGTTAAGTAGTCAAGTCTAGTAGTCAAGATAGGTGATAAAAGGGCCTCTTTTATAACTAACAGACATAAGGTATAAAGTAGGACTGGAAAGACCTTAACTAGAATCGGGAATTATAAGCTCTACGCCTAGCTCTGTCCTTTACTGTACAGTATAAAATAAGGCAACCCACAGGAAGCATTCTCCTCTATCACAAGACTGGTATAAAGCTGAACATCTTGACCATCACTAGCAAGGAAAAGTCAACTAAGATTATTGTGGTTATTCAGTCATGGGACCCCTTTTGTGACCCCATTTGGGGTTTTCTTGGCAAAGATACTGTAGTGGTTTGCCTTTTCCTTCTCTAGCTCATTTTATAGATGAGGAACTGAGACAAACAGTGACTTGCTCAGGGTCACACAGCTAGTAAGTGTTTGAGGCTGTATTCAAACTCATGAAGATGAATCTTCCTGATTCCATGCTGAGTGCCTTGTCCATTGTGCCACCTTGCTTCCCCAGCTAAAATAGTGAATGTGAAAGGATATGTAATTATAAATGTAAAGTATTACTAAGTAGTAGGTGCTTATGGGGCCATACCCTGGGCCAGGTGATATAATAAGATGCCAATCAAAATTAAATGTATTATTCAACATAGTCATATTTCATATTTGAGAAACATAGCACCAGAATTCAGAGAATAGCATTCAAATACAACACCCAACAGAGGCTGCGAGAAATATCTGCTATCACGAGTGTAAGTTTATTTTGCCTTTTTGTACAGTATACTACAAAACACTAAAGTATACACAGGTTGAGGAGTCTGTAGGAAGTTACCTCCACTCCTCTCTAAGGATGATATCTCATCAATAGCTTTACCTTACCTCTTCATGAGATGATCACAGTATAAGTTAAAAGCAGCACTACCAAGAATACATTATAAGATACAGGACCACTAAATTCCATCTAGAATCTGAATTCTAACCAAAAAAATACAAATAAAGCATGGGGGGCAGGGAGAGGAAAGCTCTATTAATCTATTTTCACTTCTCTCTTTGTACCTAGAGTTCTTCTATTTAAACAGAAGCAAAGGAACATATAAAGATAAGATTAACAATCAATTATATGGCAAACATCATTACATGCCCCTCAAGAGATTAAAATGGAGAGGTCCTCAACCATTGGGTCACAACTTGCTTTTGCCTCAGACACCTGTATGTGAAGTAGGAAACTGTGGTATGTGCTAGCTATTGTGAAGAGGTTTCATTCTAAGTCCGTCCTATTTTCATCCACTGACATTAATTATTAAAAATAGCTTCCTTGATTTCAGTTTAAAAACAATAGCATTAGGAACAATGTGAAGATGTGTACCCAGTGCCAAGTCTTGATGTTCCAGGCCTATTGAGAAGTGACTGAACAGCTTCTTTGTCTGCTAGTCCTTTTCATCTTGTTTCTAGGCTATAGCTTGGTAGAAGCACCATGGAGAAATCATTTGGGCATATGGACTTAAAAGATGGTGAAATAACATATACCTGTTTTTGCCTTTCTTTTTCTTTGTATCCTCAGAGCTTAGCAAAGTACCTGGCAAAAAGTAGGTACTTAATAATGTTGTTGATTTGTTTATTGAATCTGGTTCCAGGTTCTAACCCCTACTAGGGAGAATTATATTATTCAATTACTTCTCCACAATTATCCCTTATGTTTTATTACTTGGAGAATTGTTTTTAGAGAAAAAAAATGGGACAAAACAAAAACCATACATATAACAGGTCTAAAATATATAATTTATCACAGTATACATAATTATCTATCATATGAAGAAACACAGGTGCATAAAACATACTGGTAATCTAATATCTAATCATACAAGGTTATAATTACACTGAGGGAGGCTATAGGATCACCATAAATATGAGAGTTGAAACCAAAGTTATTTTGACAATCTTCAAAGGCTGTTCAGGAAAATTTGCATTTACTTATAGGTTTGTTTTTTTCACAGAATTTACTGTATCCAGTCAAAGATAGTTTTGAACTGTGTATTTCCAGACTACTTCCCTGCAACTAATTCCTTATATTTATTCCCCCCTACCCCCAATCCCTATTTCTATTTAGGAAGAGAAAGGCTACAACCATTAGTACTTGCAGTGGATGAGAGGAAGACTATGCTACACAAGTGGTTTATGGAGCATGAGTAGATAAATTAATTTCCCTTGCATGAAAGAGACAAAAACCCTTTTGATTTGGAAGCTGCCAACAGAGCAGTGAAGAAGAAGGTAGGTAAAGATGGGACTAAAAAAGGTAGGGGTGTGAAAAGGAATCAGAAATACTAAAGTTGAAAAGGATTTTTGAGACCAACTAGTTTTATTTCATCATTGTATAGACAGCAAAACTGAAGCGAAAATGATTTGCTCATGGCCACACAGGTAGTTAGAGTAGTCAGAATTAGAACCAAGGTTTCCTCACTCCCAGACCAATGCTGTTTTCCATTTTCAACAATTGCTTCCTAGAATGACTTAGGTTCTGATAGGCATTTCTTTGGGGAGACTTACAGAGCATTTTATTTAAAACACAAAATTGGAAAATTGGAAAAAATTTCTAAGCAAAAAATGTTAGTTATTTTTGTAGATCCAATTCTGATGACAAAGTTTTGTCCAAGTACTTTGGAGAAGCAGGTCTGCTAAAAGATAGTCAAAATCTACCTTAAGTCTCTATGTACTCTTTAATTCTACCTCCATTGTCCTCTGTTGAAATCCTAAGGACATTTGCTTAGTGTCTCAAGGATTATAGTCAAACGGAGGTTAATCTCCATAAATTATAGGATTGTTGTTTACATTTCCCATTTCTTTCACAATCAGGGTCAAATGCAATGTTGATTCTGCTAACTGGTTTGGTGAATTATTCATTGACATTGGCATTGTGCTTTTCCTTGGACCTCCTCCATATAGGGTCTATGTACCACAATGCAGGTTGTAAAGTGTGGTGGTAAGGAGGGTCTCAATCTCTTGCACTCTCTCCCAGTCTTCCTCTGTGTGGTCCTCATGTTCCTGCTCTATGTCACCTATGCTTGGCTTCTAGGACCCAGGAGCCTGGACATCCCCAAACCTCATGTGCCTATTTATGACAATTTCTTCTCCTACTACCTTCCCCACTCAAAACATTTTTTACCGTGAGTTCTTGGCTCAGCTACCCCTCTTCGTTTTCCATCTTACCAATGATGCCTTCTATTAAAGCTATACCTCTTCCCTTTTTAATACATGTATACAATGACCTCAGAAGACTCACACTACCCCATCCCCTGTACCCTGTGCCCCAAGCCTCTGTCCTCATTCCCACAGGCCCTCATGGTAGGTCCTCTATCTCTTTATTCCCTCTGGCTCTTGATTTTCAGAGAGGCTTTGGGCCCCTGTATTCACATCTGGTTCCCTCTCCTGCCTCTTCTTCCAATGAGAGAAGAATTCCTGGCCTTGAAATGGTTTGTTTATGATGCATGTTTTGATCTGAAAATCCATTCCATTTGATAGTAAACCACCCCTTTCACTCCAGGCATTGCATTAGACTACTCATCTTTGGGTTCCTGGATACATTTTTCAAAAGATTACATGAAGCTTTTTCAATCATTTCTCTTTAACATATTATAAGTTTCAAGTTTAAAAAATTTTTTTTAAATTTTGGTCTTGGTTAAGGGAGCACCATTCACTGTCCTTATATCTTGTATCTTTAAAATAATCCTTAGGACAAAGAATATTTTTTAAATTCAGAGAAATCATTCTTCCTTGACAAAACGTACTGTTGAAAGGTACAGCACCAAGCTAACTGAGAAAATAGAAGTCCTAAGAAACTATAGGCTTTTCAGGAAAAAAAAAGTATTTGGAATTTAAGGGGAAAAACCCACCTCTTTCATAATTAAAGTCCAAAGAATGTGTTCCTGATTGCATAGAATGTTTCCAGTGTCATTTACACATGTTGTCCTTTTACCAACTTTGCTGTCACCACTTGATATCCATGTTGTCTGTGGGGTGTTCAGCAGTATTGTAAGTGGTATGCAGGGCTTCCAGGACCTTTGGGGAGTCTGTACCATTTAGCCACTCTTGGTATAGTCTCTGCACATGTGTGTTAGTTTCTGGAAGCTGCACAGGGATCTCAGCATACACTTCTTCCATTCGTCTCAGCAGCGCCTTGTCTGGTTTCCCATCTTCAGTTTGAGTTTGACCTTTGCCATTTAAGCAGCCTTTAGAACACAAACCCACACATAAGCCCACACACGCATACATATATGCATAAGCACGCATACACACACATACACACACACACACACACACAAAATAAAGTCAGGTAAAAGCATATTTTGCTTAAAAAAAGCTGTTTTAGCTTAAAAGGACTACTTGCCAGGTTTGGTAAAGGATGTAGTACCCCTCACTCCTGTGCCCTAACATAAATATATAGATATTCAGTTTCATAGAATCCCATTTTCTTATGGGTAAGAAGGGGTCTCAGGGTTATTTAACCCTTTTCTGAAGTAGGAATCTGTTCTACAAAAATTTCTAGCAAATTATTTCCTGCCTATATATGAAGACTACCAGTGATATGGAACTTACCACTTCCTGAGGCAGCCCTTTGAGGCAATTATTGTTAGGAAAATAATCCTAATTAGCAGGATTAAACCTCCTAAACATCTACCTTCTAATTTCTTAGGTCTACTCCTGGAGTTTAAGTAGGGTAAATTTGATCCATTTTCCACATGATAACTCCAGTGTTAATTATTAATTATCAAAAGTAATTTACATAAACAAAGGTTGTAAAAGATAATGGAAAGGAATATGGTGATTGTAGTACAATATATTGACAACTATGATTTTGCATCAAAGACAAAGTGACTGTTCATAAAGGAAAAGCAAGGAATAACAGACAATCTACCTGAGTGTTAAAGTGGTATCTATGCAACATTAAAAGAAACGTAAGAAGGGCTCTAGCATGTTGAATAAATCCTTTTTGAAGAAGTTATAGAAAGATGCAGAAAAGAATTACACAGAATAAAAAGTTTTAGATGGAGAAGCTGTAATCTTCAGAGGTGGAGGGAAAGCTCATACCATAGTAAGCTCCATCACAATCAAAATCAGGTGCCATCAAGCTGAATGCAGGAACTGTTCTCTACTGGGGCACAAACACTTTCTGGGACACATCAAAATGTAGATCATTCCTTCTTCCACTTTGTACCAGTGTCAATAACTGATTGAGCTGTCAAGCTGTGGCATCAAGCTAGGCAGCTATTCCATTGACTGTTAAACTATACTAAACTGGCCTGATGCTAAGTGACTGCTATGCCAGAACGGCACAGTAGATAATTCAACACATCAAAGAAGACACAGGCAGTACCTGGAGGTCACAAAATATGCCCTGGTGTTCTAAGAATGACAGCACAATAGTAGATATCACTGAATTCTCAGACTACTGCTGCTTAAGTTTCTTTCTGATCTCCTTAAAAGTTAAGTAGTTGCTGGAAGTGCCTTTCAATTGGGGTACAGGCACCCCAAACCACAAAGTACACTCATAGTTCTAGGTTCAATAATTGTGGTGACTATATTTCCTGAACCAGATTCCTGACAGGGGATATTCTAACAAAGCCTTGATTAAAGTTTACTGTTTTATGAGAAGAATTATATGAAGCTGATGCTGGATGAAGAAAGTAGAACCAAAATAATAATAAACACAACCACAAAAACAATATAAATAAAATCAGCACTGAAAGGCAATAAAACTCTAATCAAATACAAAAGGTGATGTTAATACTATACTGTCAGAGTTAAAGGACATAGCCCTTCCTTCAATTAACAACTGATAAATGGATTTGGAGGGGGAGAATGTTGTTTGTTAAAGAGTTTGTGGGGGGATATACATTTTTAATTAAAATAAATGATATTTTATTATCTTGGAATTTGGATTGTTTCAAAAAATTGGGGAAATCCAGTCCCTTCAGTTATAGCTTTACAAACTGCATGAGAACATCTCACATCTTTTTCTCCAAAGGAAGGCATATGGGTTAAGTGCTACATAATAGCAGGAAAGGATATGGTGAGGCCGTTGTTCATCCTTTAGTGACTTTATTAGGTAGATAGATGGATGGATGGATAGATAGATGGATGAACAGACATATGGATAGATAGAGCATTTATTGTTTATTCTTTTCCAGGATTGTGCTAAATGCTGAGGATACATATACACACAAACAAGATAGTCCCTTCCTTCAAGTAGCTTAAATTCCAATGGGGGAAATTATCTGTCAAATCTATGGGTAGGGGAAGAGTTCATGACCAAACAAGACACAGAGAGATTCACATGAGGTAAAATGGATAATTTTGATTACATAAAATTGAAAAGTTTTCACACAAACAAAATCAGTACTGCTAAAATTAGAAGAAAAGCAGGAAACGGGGAAATTTTTCATAGAAATTTTCTCTAATCAAGGTTTAATTTATAAAATAAATAAAGAACTGAATCAAATTTGCAAGAACAAGAATCATTACTCAATTGATAAATGTTCAAATGTTATAAACAGGCAGTCTTCAGAAAAAGAAATCCAAGCTATCAATAGCCACATTAGAAATACTCTAAATCACTAATAATCAGAGAAATGCAAATTAAAAGAACTCTGAGGTGACACCTCACATCCATCAGATTGTCTAAAATGACAAATGCTGGAGGGGATGTGGGAAAACAGTTACACTAGGCATTGTTGGTTGAGTTGTGAACTAGTCCAACCATTGTGGAATGCAATTTGGAATGACAGCCAAAAAGCTATTAACTTTATATCCTTTTTTACTCAGCAATAGTTCTACTAGATTTTATACCCCAAAGAGATTAAAAAAAGAGAGAGAGAGAGAAAGGACTCATGTGTACAAAAATGTTTATAGCATTGTGGTAGTGAAGAATTGGAAACTGAGGTAATGCCCCTCAATTGGGCATATGGTATATACTCAACTGATATATGAATGTGATGGAATATTATTGTATTTATAAAGAATCAATGAAAAAGAAATGAAGAAGGGGATGGTTACAGAAAAAAAAATTGGCAAGACTTATAAGAACTGATGCTAAGTGAAGTGAGCAACAATGTATACAGTAACAGTAATATTGTAATTATACTCAACTCTGAAAGACTTACTAACTCTGATCAACACAATAACCCACCACAATTCCAAAGGACTCATGATGAAACATGCTATCCACCACCAGATAGAGCTGATGGACTCAAAGTACAAACTGAAATGTATTTACTTTATCGTTCTTTTTCTTGCCTTTTTTAAAAAAACATTGCTAATGTGGAAATTTGTTTTGTATGACTACACATAATTGTAATGGGTTTTGCTTTTTCTTTCCTTTTCAATGGGTAGGGAAGGGTAAGGGGAGAAGAGAATTTGGAACTGCAAAACAATTTAAAAGTCTCTGCAACAACAAAAACAGTTGTAACTGGGGAAGACTATGCATAAAGGGGAACTAAAAGGGGAAAGAAAGTACCTGGGCAGCCACAATGTGGCTGGTGAGGAAACAGAGAAAGCCAGTGAAATAAGACCAGAGAGTGAAATAAGCATGGTTGGGGCCCCCTCATGAAATGGCAGCCTGAGCTAGGAAGTTACCAACCAGGACATGAGCATCACAAATGAAATTTCTCCAGGGTGGGAAGATAGCTAGTAAGAAGGTAAAAAAGTCAAAGGTACTAAAAGCAGTGTTTGACTGAACATTAAATGACTGACCTAGATTAACTGCTTCTTGAGCACATTTATTCTACAGAGAAGGTGCTCCATGTTTTTTGTATCAGACTTCTCTGGCAGTCCTGTGAAGCTTATGGACCCCTTCAAAGAATGTTTTAAAATGCATAAAATAAAATATTTAAGATTATAAAGGAAACCAATTTTATTAAAGTATAGTTATCAAAATAAATTTTTTAAAAAATCCTCAGACCCAGGGTTGAAAGCCCCTGTTATAGAGCAAAAACACTCCTACATATTGGTCCTGCCAACCTAAAGGAGTTGCTTAATTAAATATAAGAAAAGGAGACTAATTTTCAAGGGGCCTTCACATATAAAAATATTTCTAGTAGCACTTTTTGTGGTAGCAAGGAAGTAGAGATATAGACTCTCATCAATTGGCCAAACAAATTACTGTACATGAATGTAATGTAATGCTGTAAAAAAAAATGATGAACAAGAATACAGAGAAACATGGAAAGACCTCTGTGAACCGATACAAAGTAAAGCAGAAGCAGGAAAACAATGTACAGTGACTACCCAAATGTAAATGGAAAGAATGAAACAATCAAAACTAAATACTGCGAATTGATAATATCCAAGCTTGATCCCCAAAAGCAGAGACATAAGAAGATACGTGCCACCAGAAGTTGGAGGCCACCAGGTGGGGCAGTCACCCCAGCCTTTGAGATGGGCTGGTTAGTTTTGTGGAGTTTCATTTTTCTTTCTGTCTCTTTCTAAATTCTTTGTTACAAGAGATGGCACTCTGGAGAAGGTGGGGGCAGGGATATAGTGGAACAATAAGTAAAATAAAATAAAAATTTATTTTAAAAAATGTCAAGTCTCCAATGAAACTAAAGCCATTCCTTATGTCATAGTTATACTTCACAGGCTGAACTTTTAGCACAAGGGAGTATCCTGGTCAACTGACTTAGCCACACTGTAGAGGTGGATAAAGCTTATCCTAATTTATTTCATTCTTACCTCCAGGACAGGCTAGGACCTCTACAAAGTGATATGGGAACTTGCCCTTTTTAAGTTTCAGGATCATGTTCTGGATATTTCGAAAGCCATAAGCAGCAGCAAACCGTAGCACTATTTCCCCATTTTTTTCCAGAGTGATCTCCTGGAAGTCTTTGTTTCTGTAAAACAGAATAGATTTGGAGACATTAGGTTACCCAATTTTTTTCCCCCAATAGTGGGCCACATAACAAGAAATTTACATGGCATGGGACACATTTGCACAGTTACAACTAGTCACTAACCTAAGCCTGCTAGCATACAACAAACAGTTTTCCAAATATATGCAGTGTACAAAAGTCACCCTCTGCAGAGTGCTAAAACCAAGAATAAATTGCTTCTATGCTGAGGGAAGCACAATGTCTACTACATTAAGGGCTTAGTGTAGTAAATGGATAAGATACCAATACAAAGGACTACAATCCATGTTAAATGAGATACATAATAGTCACGAAACATGAGGGTAGTTATCTAATAATAGCAGTGGACTGGTGGTCAGGTCCTAATTGGGTTTGTATGGGATGGCTTATTAAAAAACAAACAAAACATTTTTTGGCCTAAAACTGTGGCCAAATTGGCTACATGCTGGACAGCTGAACAGTGGACCCTTTACTAGAGTTTTTGGAGGAAAATGGCTTGTATAGCTGGCAGAAAAAAAGGAAGTATAACAGTGGTTTTGCCACTTCCTTTTATGGTTCTTGTCAGAAAAAAATTTCAAATGATTATTTTGTTTTGTGGCAAATTACAGGAAGTACAAGAAATAGGTCTTTCTTTATACTGTGACTTCATACTAAAAAAATAATCTGACTTTGCAGTGACTGAGGGTTTCACATTTCAATATCAGGTGTCCTTCAAAAACAGCAGTTTTTATTCTCCCAGTCAGTTAGTTACTGCCACAAGTTCTGTGGAAATGTTATTTTGGGGAATTCCATATCTACCCAAACCCAAACTGCACTTACTTCAATGCTCTGTAAGTGATTTCTTTGATGTCCATGTCAAACAGTTCTCTGGCTGCATATTTAAAGATGTGCTCCAGGTAGCCATCTGACCTCGTCGCACCATCACTCACTGTGTCTCCTTCCTTTATCTCACCAAATCTTGAAAAACACATAGATATAAAGAATTCTAAAATGAAACCACTAACAACCCCTCTTACAACTCATCCAAAAAAGGGCAAGTGATGGCAAAAAATGAAGTCCAATGATATTCAGATAGCATGCGGTCTCTTCTTTATTTCTGAAGGAAATCAGAGGTTAAGAGTTATAGCCCAAACTTACTATCATTATTTTGGGGGAGACTTTCACTTTATTAGGTGGGTCTTTATATTGTGATAGTCTAGTCTTAACCTCTGCTTATTTACAGGAATAATACTCATGCTCCCTAACACAAATAATTTTGAGGCCTAAAGAAGCACAGACATTTAGAAGGGACCTTAGAATTCAATGTTTTCCTTTTACAGATAGGGTCCAGACAGATTTAAAAAACAAACAAATAGACCTAGGTTGTATAGATAGTTATGACAAAGCCAAAACTAGAAACTTGGGCTCTTTCCATTATGCCCAAGTCCCATACCATATTATTTACAAAAGGACAGCAGAAGAACATATCAGGTTCTTTGAAAATACTCTTTAGTTTTCCCAACATTAAGTATTCATGATTGTTTAACTCTAAAAGTAAGAAAGCACAGACAGTTGTAGCTTGCTATCCTTTTTTTTTTCCAGTTGTTCTAAATAACTACAGGAAAATGGACTTTCTTCCAGGCAAATAAAGAAAAAAAGTCTCATTACTGAATTTTCTGTTCTGACCTTATGCCATATGAAGGCATTGCTTTCTTTATTGGGTTTTCCACAAGCTATTTTTTGTAGAAAGAGAAACCACATGGCAAAATCTCATTTACTGAAAGCTTTACAGATCAAAGGACATTGTTAGCTTTCATGTAATTTATAAAATTGAAACTTGCCAAACTATAACTATCCACATACTGTTAAGAGGAATCAGAAAAAATAATGCCATCAATATCTAGGGGCAACCTGATACAATGATTATCTGCCTACGCTAGACCAAAGACTGTTAAAAACTTGTAGCCCCAGCATAGCCTTACATTTCAACTTTCCATCCTTTACTGACATGACAGAAAAAATTTAATCTTTCTTCTGATGAAGGAACCCATCTGTAATCAGGGATGAGGAGAGCTCAGGGGAAAAGAGAAAACATCCATTTTCATAGGTGGCACATTATTCTCTGTAATTTCTGAAAACAGTCTACTTTTTTTTTGTTTGTTTCTCTAGAAGTTGGGTAGGAAACAACAATGTCTAAAATCCTTACTAACTAGGATGGTGTCCAAAGTGAATAGCAATGCTATCCCTAATACTATGAGGATGGCCTGGCTTGAACTAGCTTTAAGTCTGAAAGACTACAAAAGTGAGACTCCCTTTTGTATTCTCGGTGTTTCTAGTATGGTTTTCTGCTTCTTAGTGGAGGTTTCTCAGACCTACATTTGGCTGGACTAATACAGCTATACTATGTCAGCTATCATTATCCTTCAGCTGACCTCATGAAAATTTCATCTTGTTGTTCCAACTTAGTTGCATTCAGATCCAGTGCATGATTTTCCACTCTGAGAAATTGCTGAGTATCATGCTGGAATCAGTAGGGATACCCTAGGAAATAAATATTCCCCAAATAGGGGATAGAGTCACAGCCAGACAATCTTCTTTCCCTGACCTTGTGTTAAGTGTTCAATCCCAGGTCTCAAGTTAATTTAAGCTGTCTGTAGTCAGTTTATTTCTACCAATACCTCATTATTTCTAAATAAGTTTCTGTTTAATATGGTCAAATAATAATAATAATGATGATGATGACAGCTAACATAACCCTTACTCTGTGCCAGGCACTGTGCTATAATTTATAAACAATAATTTATAATTACATATATTATATGTGATAATATTATATATAGAATCATAATTATAACTTCATTTGATCCTCACAATAACCCTGGGAGGTAGGTGCTATTATTATCCTCATTTTACAGATGAGGAAACTGAGGCAAAGAGATTGAGTGACTTGCCCAGGATCATACAGCTAGTAAGTATCTGAGGCCACATTTGAACTCAGGTCTTCCTGACTGTAGGCCCAGCACCCTATGCATTGCACAACCGGCACTTCAAAATGAAAGCTACTCACAGAGTGTCTACTACAGCTTCTTTCACGAATTCTTTTTTTTGTTCCATAATCTGGATAATTTCACCTGTAGACAAAATGGAGATAGACACTTAAAAACAATAATTGTGACATGCCATAGAGTTCATCACATTTTTTGAAGGCTGAAATTTGAGATTTTTTCAGAGCATGTTCACTCATTCAAACTTTTTTCCCTCACAATCTGTGAATAAAATCAAGTAATCATACAATGTTCCAACTAGAAGCAACTTTGAATACTTTCTCTATAATAAAAGGCTTTTTCCTATAGGGTATGGAGTATGTCACAACACAGCTACAAGTGCATGACAGTTATATCTAATCAGGTTCTAGTCTTACTTTTTCCCCTGAAATAGTGGCTACAGGATAAATCATAATGTTACTGTACCCCAGAAGTTTTCTTAATATATCCAGATCTAGTTTTTCTCCTGAGCTATAATCCTGAATTACCAATTGCCTATGGGATACCTCAAAATGGACAGCCAGTATGCATCTCAAACTCAAAATGTCCAAAACAGAACTGATTATCTTTCATCACAAGCCTATCTCTCTTCTAACCTTCCCATTTCTGCCAGTGGTACTGTTATAAGAGCAATTTGGGTTCTCCCCTCTCTTCTAACATGGGTTAGACTAGTTTTCCCCCAAAATGTAGCAAAGCTACCTTGACAGGCCTGATGGTAGAGCAAGGCTCAAGCTGTGCTGCTCTTGAATAGCTTCCTGGAGCTCTGGCCACACTGACATGATCATTTATCATTTAAGGACCATAAGGGGTCAGGACCATTCAGACTTGTTGGATGTCCTGAGACCATGTGAATCCCTGTGCCCTTCCCTGATGACCAGATGGGTGGAGCCACGTCTATCCTTTCTATGTTATAGCTAAATAAACTTCCTTTTGTTAACTGTTGAACTGTCTCCAGTGAGCCTCATTTCACCCCAACATTGAATCCAAACTTCGGAGTGCTGGCCTGAGTAACCCTGGATGCCACTGGAAAAAGTGTTAATATGCCTCTATCATGTAAATTTAAAGATATAGTAAGTTTTGACTACAGAACCAATGAAAAAAGGCTACTCTGTCCATGTGGTAGGAAAATGAAGATTGTCTTCTCCTAGAAGCAGGTCCCTGGCATCTTCCACATAGATGCGTCTATTTTAGGTGATCTGATCATAGATCAAAGTGCCATTACCTGAGTTTTAATAGGTCTAAGATGATGCATTGGCATCCCTGAGTTTCAGAGTTTACAGGCAGTGCAGCATTCCCCAAGGAGCAAGGAGGTACCTTCTGTACCCAGGCCAGCAAAAGCTGGGACAAGGATTCAGCCAGTAGTTATGCTGCACCTGGACATGAATTTGATGGGACCAATGGAATGTAGGAATAAGCTAAATTGAGCCTATTTCTCCTGTTCCTCACCCTCCCCCAACCAAGATAATACAAGGGAGAGTATGTCTCTAAGGTATTTAGGAAAATGTTTGTTCATGCTATACCTTTGAATTAATTATCCCTTTGCAAAAGACAAACCCCCCAGGCTAAGCTTGGCTCTGTGAAAGTAAAGCCACAGTGTAGTCACTATACTATATAAATGTTCTTTTTCTGTTCTGGGAAGTTATATCAAAGAATCTACAATTCTCTCTCTTTTTTAACCCTACCTCTCCCTCCACTGCTCTGATAAAATATTTGTTAGATCTATCTTTCCCTCTTCTCTGGAGATGCTTCCCCTTAAATTTCCTTCTCATTTTCAATATGTGCACCTATACTAGCAAAGGCTTATAGCTATCATGATTTTAAAGATAAAATAAATATTTAAAAACAAAGAAAAGTAAGAACCCAGAGCTTCCTCAGGGGAGCCCAAAGGGAAAAAGGAGATACAAGATTACTGCCTTGGGAGTCTATAGACTAGAGTTATTTCAACAATACTACTTTTGCACCAGGGACTTCAGAGGTAATATTAGGTTGAAGAACATAGATCCTGTTCTGACACTCCTTGTGTCTAATCTGCCCAAGAAAAACTGATGGGGATGAGGCAATGGGACCCCTAAAAAGGAAAAGCACTGGAACTTTTCCACAAATTTCAGTAGCCCAGATCACTGGTGCCTCCAATCAAAGAATCTGGCCCATCTCAGCCCACCTTGATTACTTAATTAGCTTACTTGACACTCCTTAATCCTATCCAGATCTTCCCAAGTCTTTCTGCATAAAAATATCAATCTTACCCTCATCAAATTCACAAATTCTTAGAATCCCGCCTGCTTCTACTTGCAACACAACAAACCTTGTCTCTGACTGAAAGAAGGATTGAGTAGTCGAATTCTTTTGAGGGAGACTCCCTCCCTGTACCCTTGTATTTTGGGGTTCCTCACACCCTTAGACTGCAACAGAACTGCTCACAGAATCCTGGTCCCTTCCTTTGTGGTAGCTCCCTCTGACCAAGCTTTAGCTCTCCAAGCTCCTAGTGGCTTCTCAGAGCCTCCCTTGCCTACAGCTCCATGTATTATTAGTAACTGGGATTCCTTTTCAGGAGTCCCTCCTAGACTTACCGAACTGAACTTTAAAAGGTCACTTGACAGAACCAAAGATCCAAGATTTTGGGTCAAGAAATTACTATTTGACAAAATTGCTGGGAAAACTGGAAAGCAGTATGACAGAAATTAGGTATAGATCAACATCTCACACTCTATACCAAGATATGGTCAAAATAGGTACATGATTTAGACATAAAGAATGATACCATAAACAAATTAGGGGAGCATGGAAAGTTTACCTGTCAGATTTATGGATAAGGGAAGAATTTAGGACCAAACAAGACATAGAAAGCATTACAGGATGTAAAAAGGATAATTTTGATTACAACAAATTAAAAAGTTTTTACACAAAACCAATACAGCCAAAATGAGTAATATTGTACAATGATCAACTGTGAATTACTTAGCTATTCTCAGCAATACAGAGATCTAAGACAATCTGAAAGGACTCAGATGAAAAATGCTATCTGCCTCCAGGGAAAGCACTGATGGAATCTGAGTACAGATTGAAGCATACTTTTTTTTTTACTTTATTATTCATGGTTTATTTTTGGTCTGTGTTTTCTTTTGTAACATGGTTAATACAAAAATATTTTGCATGACTACATATGTATAATGTATATCAAATTGCTTGCCTTCTCAATAAGTAGGGAGGGCTGGGAGGGGGAGAGAATTTGGAACTCAAAATTTTAAAAAATGAACATTAAAAAAATATTTATATGTAATTGAGAAAAAAAAGTCACCTGGATGAGTGGCCTATCATTCTTCATCCTATGGCTTGCTACCTTTCTAATTCATTCAAAGGACTTACTTCTATTTCATAAAGACATCACTTGCTGTGGCTTCATTTTTTTCAAGTTACTTTAACATTTTGTTATTTAATCCCTTTTCTGTGTAAAAGATGAATTCCCAATTTCACACACATACACACATACTCACACACACACATTCTTTCCTCCAATAGAATATAAACTTCTTTCTGCTTCATCTTTTAGAAATATTAAGAAGGTGCAGCTGTGACAGAACAAAGGCAAAGGGCCCAAAACTGATCCACCTTGATTGAATTAGGGTAATAATCAGAATAAGAGAAGAAAGTCCTTGTTTATTTTACTTAATGTAAGTATCTCCTGAGGTCACCTCTGATCAACTAGAAAGGCCAATCCTTAAAGGGGAAGTGTCAAAGAAAGATTAATGATTTTAGAGAAATGATTGAAGAAGTTAAGTGACTACTTACCGCTCTGTTTGTTAACTGAACTTTGCCCTGAGTGCTGTAACTTAAATTTTATCTCATTGTGGTATTCTGTCTGTTTTTCAAGAATGCCATAATTATAACTCTGAAATTGCTTATGGTAAGGGAGATTTTTCAGAGCCCTGTCACTGGTCCCTTCTCTCTAAGTAGAAATGCTTAATTAATCAAAATTTACCAAAATTGTTTCTGGCTGGTTTATGCCTAAATTGTAAAGTACAGAATTTTTTCCCACGAGCCACTTAAGGGAAGTGACTATTTCACTCATGTCTTTGTATCCCCAGCACCCCACCCACGTAGTGGGTGCTTGTTTGTTGATTGTCTGATGAAGCATATCTCTTGCCTCTTGGCAGAAGAGTGGTGGAAGTGAAGAATGAAGCATACATTTTTAGACACGATCAATATGTTTATTTATTTTGCTTGACTATGAGGGAAGGCTCCATTCCTAGGGGCTGGGGAGTAAGGGGAATCACTAAAAATGACAGTCATGTAAAAAAAAAAAAGGAGAATCAATAAAGGAAACATTTCCCCTAAATTACACAAATGTGGGCAAGCATGCAAACAAAATATCCCTGTATACAATTCTGGCTTACAAAGTCCTACACACTTTACCGTAGAGCCAGCTCACTGATCAGAAATGAGGAAAGCAACTCAAGTGAAATCACAGAAGATGGGTAAGATAGGAAGTAAAAGGGAGGCTTGCCCTCTATTCCATGAGGTGAACTATCATTCTAACCCTTGGAACCCATCCCAAGGTTAGAGAAGCTCATTGTTCTCTACATTCCCCCACCAAAATTTCTTGTCCCTTCAGGGGACAAACTTTAGCCTCAGTGAACACCCAACTTTCACAGAGCAAAAACCAACTAGGAGCCTCTGGTCATGCATGCTAGGAACACACGAGTGTCCAACATTTGTTTTATGATGGGAAGATCTAATTTTCTCAAGAGTGGAAAGCTCTATTTGGTGTTTGGGAAGAAGAGAGGAGGCAGAGCTGGCCATAGGCAAAACTTAAAAGAAAATGTAAAATATTTTGGGGGCCCCACCCTTTCTTACCTACTCCAAAGTCATATATTGACCCATCCAGGTCTGTTCTTTCTGTGCTTTCCTCTTGTTCTAAAATTACCAGTCCCTCCACCCCACTCACATGATTTCCATGCCTTTCACGGCTGATTTTAGGTATTAGGTGGAATACTAATTAGGTGGGATTCACACTAAGATATAAATATCTGGTGAAGCAGACACTGAATTCTAGTTCTTTTGTATTTCCAAGAGTGCCTAGCCACTGG